GAACAGGCATAAAATGGTAACACAAATAATTGGTACATTCAGGTTGTGATAAACATTATGAAGACTAGATGTAGGATGCTATAAAAGTTGTATGGAAAATTGACCTGTTGCAGTTGTGTTTAATCTAAGATCTACAGGACGAAAAGGGGCTGAGACAAAGAGGAGCGATTGGAGGACAGTGTGTGTCAGATTGACACAATTCACCTTGAATTTTGAAAAGATCACTTTGCCTGCTATCAGAAAAATTGGCAAGAGCGAGACAAGAATGGAAACTGGTAACTCTGCAGTTGGGATGAAAGGTGCTGGTGGCTTGGGCCAAGGAGCTAGCAGTGGAGATGGAGAGAATCAGATCACAAACAATTATCAGAAGTAGAATCAATAGGACTGGGTGATTAGATATAGGGGTGGGGGTAAGGAAAAACAGACAGGCATGACCTCTGAATTTCTGGATTGGGAAAATGGAGAAATCTTGATGCTATCTACTAAAACTGAGAGCACTGGAGAAAGAGCAGATTGGGAAGAGAAGATTTGGTGCATGCAATTAATTCTGGGCATGTTGATCCAGGGGTGATATCGATGGATATGTTTAGTAACTGAGTTTGGGACTCGATGACTTTCACTGATACAGCAGACTATGGTCATCCTGCAAGAATGCCAGCACACAGTAGCCCTCCAGCACTGGCTGGGGGTTCAAGGATACAGCTTCAATTTCTAGGGGAACAAAGTCCTAGGGGGACTTACGTATCAGGCCAGGAACCAAAACTATAACTGAAATATTGGGTCAAATGACCTAGACTGGGACTGAGTGATAAGAATGGAAGCCTGGGTCATAGGAATGCAGCAGAAGGCTAGTTATTACTGTTCTGATGCCATATCTCTGATGTTTCTTGAATCATTGAGAGTAACCAGGAGATTTTTTTTTTTTTTAGAGATGGTGCCTTACTGCCCAGGTACTCCAGGCATGTGTCATCACGCCCAGCTAATTTTTATTTTTTATCTTTTTGTAGAGACTGGGTCTTGCTATCTTGCCCAGGCTTGTCTCAAAGTCCTGGACTCAAGTGGTCACCCTGCCTTGACCTCCCAAAGTTCTGGGATTACAGGTGTGAGCCACCATGCCCAGCCATCAGAAGGCTCTTTTGACTTTTGATGCCAACTAGAATTGTGGTAGAAAGCAATGTAGTATCAATTTCAGTGCTCATGTGTAAACTTCTGCAAATGTTTAAACCCCAAGCCCATTTGACCAACACAAGGAGGAAGGCACCATACCAGGCCAGTGCAGCAGTTGACAGAACTTCCCACTAATGCAATATTAGGCAGCTAGTGACTGTTTCTGAAGAGATGAGAGAGGTGAGCTGGGGTTGAGTTCTGTCTTTTTAACATCTCCCCAAATTCACACATGTTTATGCCCTGGTATGTCTTCCGTTAGCCTTAATCTCCTTCCTATGGGTTCTTGATATGCCAAGGTCTAAGTCAAAGACCCCTCAGAAAGGAACATATTAGTCCATCTCTCACAGTTGCATACGACAGAATTCCATCTAAAGATGGCTTAAGCTGTTTGTTGGTGTATGAGGATTCTCCAGAGAGACAGAACCAATAGGATTTATGTACATATAAAGTGGAGTTTATTGGGGAGAACTGGCTCACATTATTACACAGGTGAAGCCCCACAACAGGCCATCTGCAAGCTGGGAAATGAGAAAATCCAGTAACGTGGCTTAGTCCTAGTCCGAATGCCTCAAAACAAGGGAGGCCAATAGTGCAGCCACTAATCTGAGGGTGAAGACAAGAGAGCTCCCAAAAGGCTTCTAGAGCAAGTCCCATAATCTGAAGGCCAAACAATCTGGAGTCTGATGTCCACAGGCAGGAGGAGAAAAAGCCTCTCACTGGGGACAGAGAGGAGACTCTGCAAGCTGAATGTTCCCTTTTTGCTGGCTGCTTTGTTCTAGCCATGCTCCATGCAGGCAGCTGATTAGACGATGCCCACCCACACTAAGGGCAGGTTCTCCTCTTTCAGTCCACTGACTCACACGTCAATCTCCTTTGGAACCACCCTCACAGACATACTCAGAACAATGCTCCACCAGCCACTGAGGCATCCCTCACTCCTGTGAAGCTGACACCTAATGTTACCCATCACATTTGGGATTAGTCATAGGCTCACCTGCACAAGCTTGGCAAGTGAGAGTCAGTCCTGGGACTGAATCAGTTGGAAAAAAGTGCTTGGCTTCCTTCAGATTGCCAACATGATGGACCCAACCTGGTGCTGTCCACGGGCACGTTTGCTATCACATCGGGAGGAGCCACATGACAGTGAAGAATGTGGACAAATGCAGAGACCTGGATATGGGGGTGAAGGAAAGGATAAGGAGTCCATGGAGAGAGACCCATACCTGACCACATCCTCAAAGTCCTTGATTTGACTCTTTCGGAAGTAAATCTACTCTCAATTTTCAGTTTATGTAGGCCCATGTGTTCTATTTTGGGGGCTGGAGATTTTGTCACTTGAAACTGAAAAACTCTGGCCAGTTCTGAACATGTGATTTGATTATCCTCACTTTAGTTCTGTGAAATGCTTGTCTGATTCCAGAGGTGGGGTTGTGAGCACATGGTCACACTGATGCCTGGAGGTGCAGAGGATGTGTGACTATGATTGGCATTCCCAGCAGAATGACATGAGATAGGAGAAAGACGTTGCGAGAGAAAAGGTGCTGCTCTCAGAATTCTGGCAATAATGGAGTATTGACCAGGCACCCTTACCTAATCAGGGTATCCTCTATCTGCAGGAATGAGGACTTCCTAAACAGTGCGCTTCCTTCCTTGAGATTGGAGCACCATGATTCTGCAGGCTTTCTAGATCAAAGGGAACACAGGATACTACTCCCAAATTAAAGATTTTCCAGGTGCCAAAAGGCCCTGTTTGGGGCATATAAAATATGAGACAAATCATGTAGGTAGATTGGAAACATCTAAGGCAGATTTTTGTGCTAGTGCTCTGATTTCCGGAAAGAAGGACCCCAGTATATTTGCATATCCCCATTCAAAGTTCCACAACAACCTGAGCTGAGCCACAAAACCAGAGATCTGCTAGATAAATATCTGAGTTTTGCTAGACCTTCTCAGAACCCTTTGATTGGAGGCAGGATTGACTCTGGAGGCTGGCACCTGGGCTACCTTCATGTTTAGGGTGAGGGAAGTGGTCTGGTGACCGTTGCTACGGGGAAGAGAAGGAAGACAGGCTGGAAGCCAGGTAACACTTGGTAGAGCAAACAGGGAATCAGCATCTTACAGTCCAAAAACAGTTCATCTAATGCACTGGGGATCCCATCGGACTAGTGACCTGCCCCACTGCTGTCCTTCTTTGTATATTGTTAATCATGAAGAATGCAAAAGATAATATTCATTGTAGAGAAGCCGACACTAAAGTCAAGTTCTCCAATGTGTCGTGTCTCCCTTCCTTTCTGCCACTTGTCTTTTATCACATCTAACCAGAGCTATTTCTGTCTATGGGGAGTTAGCAGGAAGATCACATATTGTACAGAGAGCAGGGTGTTAAATTTATGCAAAGAGAAGAAATGTGTTATGGCAAAAATTATTTATTGCATGGCGTCTCCCTTGAGGGTTAGTCTCTTGTTAGAGCTTTAAGGACAGCAGCTCTATATTTGTCACATGGCAGAGCCGCACTCCTGCCTGCCTCCCGCTGTCAGTGCCAAGAGCATTTATGTAAAGTCGTGATGCAAACTTGCCACCTTTAAGAGGCACGATCTGGTCCAACAAAGTGCCTTGCCTCATAGCCATTTGTGTTTTGAGAAGAGTGAGACTTCAGCCAGAGAGAAGGAGGAAAAGCAAGAACAGAGCAGTGTTAAATATCTTGAAATTGGGCCGTATCATGGCAAAGCAAATTCATAGAACAGTGGGACTTTTTATTAGGCTCTGAGGATTTTAGAAGGTGGCATGCCGTAGTGTAGCATCAGGAGTCCATCAGACCTAAGACTGAGTCCTGTTTCTGCCATTTACTCACCGTGGGTCTCAGAAAGAGTTAGCTGGCAGCTCTGAGCCTTGGTCTTCTTGACTGGGAAATGGGAACACTGTACCCGTTTGCACTGTGTTGTGAGGAGAAAGTGAAATGAAGTGTATGCTCAGTGGTAGGTGTTAAAATAATATTAGTTTTCTCCTTCCTTTTATAAAATTAAATATCGGTCCAGTGTTTCTCCAAGAAGATCTATTCTCTAAATCATAGTGGTGGCTTTCCCTAGGACAGGGATGACAAATGCTTGGTATATAGAAGCATACCTTCCTTCTTCCTTCTTTTTATCAGACATTGCTTCTGGGTTATGCCGCTGGATTATCCCTCTACATCCTCCTTAACACAGGGCTCAAGTTGGTCACTTACAAAATATCAGTTTATATATAAAACAAAATGTTTTTTACATCTGTGACCCAGATCATGTCCATAAATTGCTCTGTTGGTGACTGCACTCAGAATGTACAGACAGTTTTAATGTACATTAAATGCATAGAGGGCCTCCAGGTGCTTGGAGGACACTGCACTTCTGAAAGATGTGTCAACATATTCTTATTCTTGATTCAATTGTTGTATCACAGAATTTCCGTCTCACTTTTGGACATTTATGTCCCACAGCATATGCTCTTAGAAGGAGAAAGGCGGCAACTCATCTCAGGCTTCTCCTACATATCTGGGGAACAGAGCTACACAAGGAGACGGTGCCTGCTTTGGAGGTTAGGAGCTAAGCTCTATAGACAGCCTATAACTCTGAAGTTTCAGAAAGCCTCTGCTATGTACCAGCTGTGTGACTTTGGTTAAATTAATATAGTTCACTGAGCCTCTGTGTACCCATCCGAACATTTGTACAATGGGAATAGTAACACCTATCCCCAGAACTGTTGTGAGGGTTATAAGAGATGATGCCAGAAAAGGACAAAGCATAGCCACAGGCATATTCACCAGAAGTCATTATGGTTATTAATATTCATATTAACAGGAGCATATCCAAGGAAGAAAGATCCCAAGAGGCTCAATATCACGTCATAAAAGAATAGAAGAAGAATTGAAAATGGGAGAAGCTGGGGAAAACAAGGCTGTGGAGCACATGGCAGCTGTCTTCTAATGTTTCTGACACAGAGATTTGACTATGTGATTGACTGTACGGTAGTTCTTAAATATCGGCTGTCCTGTCCTTGGAAGGACCATGCCTTCCCATCCTGAGATAATCACCTGGGCCCTATGACTTGCTTTGACCAAGGAAATGTGAGAGAACATAGTGATTGCCACAATTAAGCTTTAATAACCATGTGTGGTTCCTCTATCCATTTTTTCCTTGGCCACAAAACCAAGATAGAGGCTGGTTCTTCAGTGTGTGTCCTGAAATAAAGAAGATCAAAGAGCAGAGCTTCTACCCACCTAGAGTTGATACATACCTGAGGAAAAAAAAAAAAAAAAGTTTGTTGTAAATCACTGAAATTTAGTGGTCATTTGTCTCTGCACATAAATTAACCAGGTTAAGACATTTTCTTTGTAACCTTACAAGGTATGATTAATACCAATGGGTAGAAGATGAAACACTTTCCTTCAATATTTAAAAAAAAATACTTTCAATAAAAGTCATCTAAAAACAGAGAGGTCTACCTTGGCCAGTAGCAAATTACCTAAAAATTAAAATATTCAAACAAAGTTGAAAAATTGTTGTGATATTGTTCAGGGCTGTGACACACAGTCTTCCAAAAGTCAATAGTTGTTGGTATTTGGGGAGAAATGGGTTCTGGAGTCAAACAGATGTCTTTGTTCCCGACATATCAGAAAGTTTAATATACTAATATTTCCTATGCCTCTGCAAAAAGATATGCCATATGTAGTTGTCTTCCAAATTTATTTGATCAGAGAATTCTCCCCACTGCTACTTTTCACCACCCTCAGAAGAACGTCTTTTGATGGGACAAATTTAACAACAGCAATTACAAAACCACACATTTAGAAAATGTTGGCTCAACAGCTTCATGATTGTAATTGGATTTGAGCCAGATAGAAATGGACTCTTGTTACAAAACTAAGGGTTCCATGAGTTAGTCACAATTTGAGCTCTCAAGGAAGATACCAAAGATTTGCTTGCAGTATAGGAATGCTGGTTAAAATGCAAAACTTTACATTCAGATTGAGTCTATCTGAATCAGACGCCACTGCTTATTGGTTATTTTGCCTTGAGAAAATTCATCTAACCCTTCTTGCTCAGGGCTTATATTCTAAGAACTTTCGTCTTATTCACTCTGGTAAGTTTATAGTCCTATCAGTAAATATCACCTTTACTTGATCTCTTTATTTTCTACTTCTACAAATCCTACTAGTGAAACAATGGATTTTCTTATCGTACCCACTAGATTTCCTTATGGTTCCTTTGTATGTTTCATGTCTTGATTCTCTGTGTGGCATTCTTCAAACTGACCTTCAAATTCATGTATTATCTCTTCAGCTGTGTCTAGTCTGACAGCCAATTGATCCATTGGATATGGAATTTCAGGAACAATTTTTAATATCTAGTCATTTAACTTCCCAATCTTTCAAAGTAATCTGGCCTTTTAAAAATATCTAATTGTCCCCTACAGTTTACTTGTTTAATAATTTTTAAAAGTTATTATTTTATCATCCCTTTTGGAGTGTTCTATTGTCCCAACTTCTTGGGAGCATTGGTTCACCTAATGATTGTGATCTTTAACGCACCCTGTGGTGAGTCACTTCCTCATAAGTTTTGTACATTTTTATTGTTAATACATATTTAGTAGGAGCTAATTTTTCTGCCTTGTGGGACATTCATGCATTTTGGGGAGTAAATTTGTGTTTTTGAGTACTTTGTTTTGGCTCCAAAGGTACCATAAAGCAGAAATTGTTTTTTATATTAATTTGTTAGGTTGAGATTACTGAACTATTCACACTGTGTAGTTCAGTTTCCAAACCCAATTGCAATGAAGGGTTAGGGTTTTTATTTTCCACAGAATCCTGGATGGAGAGAGGCTTTTTTGTGTTTGTTTTTGTTTTTGTAAATTTCCAAGGTTGGCAGTTAGAGTTTTTCTAAGTCTACTTTCTTTAAAATTGTTTATTTTTCTTTTCTAAAACTGATTTTATGATTATGATTATGATTATTAAGACAAAGTCACACCCTGTTCCCCAGGCTGGAGTGCAGTGGCTCAATCATAGCTCACTGCAGTCTCAAACTCCCAGGCTCAAGTGATCCTCCTGACTCTGCTGTCCGAGTAGCTGAGACTACAGGTGTGTACCACCATGCCTGGTTAATTTTTTAAATTTTTTGTAGAAAAGGGGTCTCACTATGTTGCCTAAGCTGGTCTCGAACTCCTGAGCTCAAGTAATCCTTCCACCTCAGCCTCCCAAAGTGCTGGGATTATAGGCATGAGCCACCACACCGAGCTTCTAATTCTATGTTCACCAAGAATTCAGGCTTGGTTTTTTTTGTTGTTTTATGTTTGTTTTGTTTTTTACAGTTCCAGTTTTATGCAGCCTAGGTTCCAACTTTCCTCCTATCACAGACTTCAGACAATATCTCCTATGTCTACATGAGATTGAAATCTAGGCCCATAAACACTTGGGCATTTTTCTGAGTCCAATACTATTCCCTACCCTTCAGGGGCCCCACTGCAAGATTTTATATTTAACACTTGAGCTTTTGATTCCTTCTTTGTTTCTGGTATTTGCTGATTTTCTTTACTTGAAAACAAAGCTATGTGTATGCATTTTTTGTCTTTTAAATTATAACATTTTATCCACCATTTCTATTTGTATGTTGTATGTAGTTGCAGGAAGAGTTCTGGGTTATTTCAGACTGCCAAGTAACCATCACTAAAACAATGTTTGTATACAATATATGTTTATATATATGTATATCTCTATATATGTGTGTGTATATACAAGTATATATGTATATATGTGTTTATATGTATGTGTTTGTGCATATATATGTGTGTGTATATATGTATATATGTATATCTGTCTTATCCTCTATAAAATTGATATAATAGCTTCTACTTCAGTGGTCAATGTGGAGATAATGGATCTTATGTATTCAACATAAGGGTAAGTATATATTAAGTGGTCAATAAATGTTGGACATTATTGTTTTTATTGAAATAATATATATAAGCATTTAGAACAGTAATTATAAATATGTTGAAGATCCTAGAAAGGGACAAAATGGGTCTTTCCCTTCAGCTAACAATTCTGGACTTTTTACATAAGGACAGTGACCTCCCGGAAAAAGTCATTCAAGGAGCTTAACATGCCCATTTGTCCTGGGCAACAAGGCTCCAGAGTTTCACATCAGAGGGAAGGAGAACAAAGTTCACTTCATGACCTCTTGTGATAGCCGTGGGCTTAGAGCTCTCCTAAGGCAGACAACCAAGACTTTTCCTTGACCTGTGTCTCAGGATCTCACTCTTTTTTTTTTTTTCTTCTTCTTCTTTGAAATGGAGTTTTGCTCTTTTTGCCCAGGCTGGAGTACAATGGCCTGATCTTGACTCACTGCAACCTCCGCCTTCTGGATTCCAGTGATTCTCCTGCCTCAGCCTCCCAAGTAACTGGAATTACAGGCACACGCCACCACACCCGGCTAATTTTGCATTTTTAGTAGAGACGGGGTTTCACCATGTTGGCCAGGCTGTTCTTAAACTCCTGACCTCAGGTGATCTGCCCACCTCAACCTCCCAAAGTGCTGGGATTACAGGTGTGAGCCACGATCTCACTCATTTTATGAGGATATGGAAACTTTAGGGTCCAGTGCCCTGTTGGCTCCTCCCACCCACACCACAGAGGACTTGACCAACTTCTTTGGAAAAGGAATGTACGTAGTAATGATGATTGGGGTAACAAGAATAGCTCACATTCATTCAGTCTTTCTTATGTGTCAAGCTATGTTCTAACCCCTTTCCATATGTTATCTCATTTACTCCTCATAAGGAATCTGAGTTAGGGACCATTATTACCATGCCTGTTTACAGTTAAGAAAGCTAAATGTAGTGTTGAAGTATTAGAAATGGTGATAAATGAAAGAATTGGTTTAGCCTTTGTAGCTTAATAATGTCTGCAACGTTGGTGGTGTGCAATGAAGAGAAATAGAAATCAATAATGTCAAGGGGCAAGGACTAACCCCAAAGTTGTGTGTTAGTCCAGGCAGCATAGCGGAGGAAAAGGAAAGTGAATTAACCTTAACTGAGCACTTTCTGTGAATAAAACAAGTTACATACAAGCTGTCCACTTACAATGCATTATTTAATTTAATTTCCTTAACAATTCTATGAGGTAGGGTTTGCCATACCCTTTTATAGGTGGGTGAGTTACGAGCACATACAGGTAACTTGTCCCTGATTACCATCTAGTGGATAGTACCCATGTGGGCATGGGTATGGCACACCATTCTATTTATGGCACACATAAATAGAATGATGAGATTCATGTAGACATGTGTTGTTCAGCCTTGTGCTACTGAATAGCACAGCATCTGACATAGATTAGGTTTCTCAGTAAATGTTCGTTGAGTAAATGAATAAATGAGTAGACCCAGGCCACTGAACAAGCCTCTAGAGTCATGTCTTATTGCTCTTGTCTTGGTTGTGAGGATATGGAGGTGATACTGATGATGGAACAGCTGGGTAGAATTGGCCCAGAATGCTCCTCTCTGTTCTACTTTGGAGGTTTTGTAGGCTCAGCTGTTAAAACAGAAAAAAGTTTTAATATAAAGGTCAAGGATTTAAGAGGAAGAAGCTGAATCACTCTGGATTATAGAGGCAAGATGAATTTGAAGGACCTAGTAACATCTGTTAGAGGTGAGAAAGGATCCAGGGAGACTGGGTGTCATTGGAGGAAATTGGAGAGGGAAAAAAATCCCAGAGATTCTGTGAAGGAGATGGGAATTAGAAAAGAGAAATGTCTAACAGGGGATATATATTTCTTCTTAATTTTGCTGAGGGTTGTGCTATGTAAATTTTTTTCCATTTTGTAATTGTCAATTAATCCACATTGCTCACTAATGCTTTGGTACAAGTGGATTCTTTAGGGGCAATGGAACAGCTGTTGAAGTCTGCAGCCAGGTGGGTAATGAGATAAACTCAGAGACAGTACATGTGGGCAGTGGATTTGAAGGATGACAAATGGCTTATACTCCATAATGCTATGTACTAGGGAGAAGTTTGGAGAAATCTCACACTGAGACATAGAGACTTCTACTCTAACTTATACCAAAAAAAGCCAAGTATTGAAGGTTTCCTAATGTTTTCCCAGTCTAAGCATCTTAGTTACTTTATATCTCCAAATCAGAAGTAGCCTGGGATGTGACAGTAAGCAGATCCCAAAGGCAGGAGTAAGAACCGAGAACTCCTTTTCCTTACCACAGTTATGGGTGCCCACAACTTCTTGATATTCCCCAAAAGACTAATATTTCAGGGAAAGTAAAAAATTAAGCTTTGAAAATAATATG